CCAAGAAGTTGTAGAGACTGGGGCAGAACACCACAAATGGAGAACCATTCGACAGGGAGAAAAAATGACTACATACGGACTTCATATCACATCACATGCTACCTTATGCTAAAATTCCAAGACAGATGGGCAACAGCAGATCCCAACCAAGGAACCAGTGGGAGTGACTGGCATGCCTGGGCCAGGCTCCTGGACTCCAAGGCCCTGTGTATGCACTGACCACACATCTCCAGGTGGGCAGCTTTGATTGGTACCCACTGCCCCTCCAACTTCTTCAAGCAACAGAACCCATCTCTTTGGGGGTTACACTTTCCTACTCTGAAATCATGAGGACCAGGTAGGGCTGACCTTACCTTCTCTGGGGTTGAGGGCAAGGACTCAAACCTAGCCAGGGGACATGTTTTTGTTTGTTTGTTTTTGAGACAGAGTCTTACTTTGTTGTCCAGGCTAGAGTGCAGTGGCACAATCTTGGTTCACTGCAGCTTCCACCTCCTGGGTTCAAGCAATTCTCTTGCCTCAGCCACCTGAGTAGCTAGGATTACACGTGCCTGCTACCATGCCCAGCTAATTTTTGTATTTTTAGTAGAGACAGGGTTTCCCCATGTTGGTAAGACTCGTCTTAAACTCCTGATCTCAAGTGATCCGCCCACCTCTGCCTCCCAGAGTGCTGGGATTTGTAATCCAGTGGCATGAGCCACTGCACCTGGCCCAGGGGATGCATTTTATTTCCCTGGGTAGGGTAGCTACAAGTCTGGAAATGCTGACACGCATTTTGCCTGCCCTGGAATGAAACAGGGAGACAGACCCATGGAGCTGGGCCTGGTATTTCAGGCCAGGCCTTTTCAGTTATCTGAGCCAAATACTCCTGAGTCTTGTTCAGCTACCTGGCCTTGAGCTTTGGCTCCTCCCTCCCAGCTCATCCTTCCCTATTTGTGCCTCCACAGCCGGCCTTGCTTTCTCACTTTGCACTTGGCATTCCCACGGCCTGGAAGCCCTTTCCCAGCAAACTCCTCCCCATATCCCTGAGTCTTTCTGAAAGCCTGGGTCCTGATTCCCTCAGACACACATCCATTTCTTTTCCCACATTTCATCACACTCAGTAGGTTTCTTTGGGAAACTTTCATTCGCTAGGTCCTTGCAGCCTAAAAGATTTTGTCAAGCTTTTTGCCATGGTCCTGTTAGGAAAATACCAATTTTCCCCCCTACTCTCCAATACAAAATGATGTTTTAACTGTTAATGTAAGTTTTCCACCAATGCCTACCCCTACCCCACACATTCTAAAATACTTCCCTGGAGAGATATCTTCCCTACCCTTGATTGAAAATCTGCTGCAAAACATCCCTCATTGATTCAGTAAACATCCACCGCCTCAGTAGAAGGTATCACACTGAGCAATGGACAGACAAATTGTAAAACTGTATTATAATTGCCCCTTCATCTGTACAAGCTAGAAGATTGCAGGGAAGGATCCTGCCAAACGGTTTAACTGGCATTTCTTTGGAAGCTGACATCAGAGGGATGGAAGGGGGACTTTTCCTTGGTATTTTATACAGTTTTAAAGGGACAGCATTTATGAGTGTTTTTGACGTCTTTCCTGGGCTTCTTAGTATCTTCCAGGTGAGACATTTCTTATTAGCTTACTGATGTGCTTGTTCCACTTCAGGAAAGGGAGCCCCTCAAGGGCATGGATGGCTGTGACTCATTCCTAAGTCTTCAGCTTCCTGCCATGGCCCAACACATAGGAGGCCAGGAAATGTTTGTGAAATGACTACAGGAACAGAGCTGACCAGGCACAAGAAGTGGACTGGGGAGTGAAGGGCATGAGATGTGGGCTGGGAAGAGCCATCCAAGCTGAGGAGCTGGGGAGGGCTAGAGCAGTGGGCAGGTTAAGTCAGGAAGAGCTGGTCCCTCTGCAGCCTGGGTCCAGCATGGTTCCCATAGGAGGTGTTGTTGTAGAAATCATGTCAAAGGGCAACTCAGTTTGTGAGAAAGAATTCCCAGAAAGCAAACTTGGCCCAGCTTTGCACTTGTTGAGGACAAAAAAGGAAAGATCAGAGCTGAGGGAAGCTGGGGAGGGAGGAGTGAAAGGAAAGGACATGGCAGAGAGGGTTTTAAGGAGACCTTAACAATCAGGGCCTGGGCTGGACAGCAGGTGGTAGAAGCTCAGCCTGCTGCTGCTGGGTCCCTGGGGAGCTGGGGAGGTGGCTCTAGGAGTGCGTAGACAGGAATGTCTGCTGCTCACAGAGGTGGTAGCCTGGCTGGGTCTGCGCTAGGCTGCCCTGTTCCGCCTTCTATCCTCTAGTCTTTGTTCCTTCAACTGATATTTCCTCAGGTATATTCAAGAACAGCTGGAGGGAGGGAAGTCATTATGACTTCCTAGAGGTGTGGACTCCTGGGCTGGGGCTTAGATGAAGAGTAACTATCCAGGTAAAGGAACAAAACAGACTTCCAGGGAAAAGAGAACAAGAGCAGGGCTACTGAGATGCAAAAGAGCCCAGCCCCAGTGAGGAGCCCCCAAGCCCTTGGCATTGCTCGGTAAAGGGCTGTCTATGCTACGAGGCAAATGGAGCACCTGCTGCTGGAGTCTCTGGTGACCAGGGTGGGAGGGGCTAGAAACCATGTTCCGTGAAGAACAGCTAAAAGACGCAGCCACAGATTATGTAGTTAGAGCCCTGGACTTCCAGGCCGCTCTGTCACTCCTGCTCACAGCATGATCTGGGGCAGGTCACTTGCCCCTCGGAGCCTCGGGTGTGGGGAGAATTCATGGGTGCAGAGAGGCCATCACTGGCAGGTGGCTGGAATAAAGGCAGCACCCAACAGACTTAATTTACTGTTACTGTGGAGAGCCAGGCATTTAAAGGCTACGTCTGGGCCAGGCATGGGCTCATGCCTATAATCTCAGCACTTTGAGAGGCCAAAGCAGACAGATCGCTTGAGCTCAGGAGCTCAAGATTGGCCTGAGCAATATGGCAAAGCCCGTCTCTACAAAAAATTTTTATATATGAAAAATTAGCTGGATGTGGTAGCATGCACTTGTAGTCCAAGCTACTCAGAAGGCTGAGGTGGGAGGATCATTTGAGCCCAAAAAGGCTGAGGCTGCCATAATCATTTCACTGCGCTCCAGCCTGGGCAACAAAGCAAGACCTCATCTCAAAAAAAAAAAGGCTACATCTGCAAGAGCCATCACTGGACCTAAGAGCAGTAGGTCCAGTTTACAGAGTGTCTTCACAGAATCAGGCCCAGTGTAAAGAAGCTCTAAGGAGGCAGCTATCAATTCAGTGTTAAGGAAAGTCCCAAATGGGAGCATTGGTCAATAATGAAATGGGCCCATCTGGGGGAGTGAACAGTATCAAGGGAATAGCCTCACCAGGGCTGGACAGCTCCCTTTGTGGACAGCAGCTGCTATCTAGGGTTCTGTGGAAGTGGGTAGATGGAGTGAGAGAACAGCTTTTTATAGAGCAGTCACTAAAGGAAACGCTAGGCTAAGGCAAGTTAAACAGATAGCTTTGCTGTAGGGCTTCCCAGGACCTTCACTGCCCTGAAACTTTGCTTATGGAACTCTAATGCTTATGGAAACCAGACAGACAATATGAATGGGTGACGTAGGATGGGAGTGGGCTGGGAGACAGCTGCCCTTTGGAAGAGGAAGCCTACTCAGCTTCTACTCTGCTCCCCTCAACGTCCTAAGGAAACTCTACTGGCCACTGTTACGGGTTAAATTGTGTCCCCCAAAAGATATGTGGAAGTCCTCACTCCTGATACCTGTACATGTGACCTTATTTGGAAATAGGGTTGCAGCTGTAATCAAGTTAAAATGAGGTCATCAGGGTGGGCCTTAATCTAATGACCAGTGTCCCTAAAAGAAAGAAAAATTTGAATACAGAGACAGATGCACACAGAGAGAAGATGACCATGTGACAATGGAGGAGGCAGAAATCGGAGTGAGCCATCTACTAAGCCATCGAACACCAAGAATTGACAGCAACATCAGAACCCAGGGAGGCAAAGAGGGATTCTCCCTGGGAGCCTTCAAAGAGAGCATGGCCCTGCCGACACCTTGAGTTTGGACCTGTGGTCAGAGACAATATGTTTCCGTTGTCTTAAGCCACCCAGTTTGTGGCATTTTGTTATGGTAGCCCTAGGAATCTGAGACAGCCACTAATTCATGATGAACTATGGACCAGCAAGCTCCAGAGGGAGAGGATGCAGAACCTCTTAACTCATAGATCACGGGCCCCTTTTTGAAAGAGCATCTTGGGGCTGGGCGCGGTGGCTCAAGCCTGTAGTCCCAGCACTTTGGGAGGCCGAGACTGGTGGATCACGAGGTCGAGAGATCGAGACCATCCTGGTCAACATGGTGAAACCCCGTCTCTACTAAAAATACAAAAAAAAAAAAATTAGCTGGGCATGGTGGCGCGTGCCTGTAATCCCAGCTACTCGGGAGGCTGAGGCAGGAGAATTGCCTGAACCCAGGAGGCGGAGGTTGCGGTGAGCCAAGATTGCGCCATTGCACTCCAGCCTGGGTAACAGAGCGAAACTCTGTCTCAAAAAAAGAAAAAAAAAGAAAGAGCATCTTGTTGGATGAGCCAGGGGACCCAATGAAGGTAGGGCACTCATTCTTATTCTCAACCTTTTGTTTCGTACCCACATGGTACCATTCACAGAGGTGACTCCTGGTTTCCTTACCTGTAAGTTGAGGACAACAATCTCAATCTCCCAGAAAGCTGTGAACTCCCAGCAAGATGCATAGCAAGCACTACCCCTGATAACGCCACCAGAGGGAGGATTATTACGTGGGATATTCCTCCCTGTGAGCCTCACTCTACCCCTCTGTAAGATGGGACAGCAATATCTCCCAAGGCTTCCCAGGGTTGCTAGGAACTGGCGTGTGGCTAGTGGTCAGAACCGTCCACGTGAACCAGTCAGCTCCTTCCTGCACACTCACTGCTTCTCCATGTCCGTCACTGCAGGGAGCCTGGTCTCCAGTGGCTGCCCTTACCTGTGCTGTGAGCTGGATGGGTTGGGACAAGGTGAGCTGTGGGGTCCCAGAGGGCTGGCTGGCAGGCTGTGGTGGCGGCAGGTCACCCCCCCCAGAGGAGACTGGGGGCTGTGAGGTCGAGGAGGAGGCAGAAGAGGAGGAGGAGGAAGTGGAGGAAGAGGCGGAGGCGGCGGCGGCAGCGGCGTTAGCAGCAGCCGCGGCACTGGACTGCTGCACGGCGGCGGCCAGGAGCTGGGCCTGGGCTTGCTGCAGGAGGAGCTGCTGCTGGGCTGGCATCAGCGCCGTGAGCTGTGGGGCAGCGGGGTCAGCGGGAGCCGGAGCAGGGGGTTAGAGAGGAGCAGAGAAGGCAGAGAGGGATTAGTGCCTAAGCCAAGCAAGTGAGGGGACAAGACCTCCTGGAGGACAGAGGCAGGCATGCGAGAGTGGCCATGGCCTTGGTGGAACAGTTCATCCACTAGCCCTGTAACAGATGAGGGGTGGCTGGTTTGTGCCCTTGTCCCCATCCTTCCCTGAGTACTTACCCCAGCTAGCTGGCTGCCCGTCAACATGAGTTGGGCCTGGGGCAGATGAGGCTGGGCCGGCTGGTGGGGCAGAGGTGCTGCTGGGGCTGAATCACCACTGGGGTCTTCAGCCTTGATCTGGGGGGGAGAGAGGCAGGGTCCGGGACCCCAGAATGTTAAGTGGAGGCCAGAGAGAATGCCCACCTGTGAACCAAAAAGAGGGCACGAGTGTGGCAATGGCAACCAGACTGGCACAGGAGGAACAGACTGGGGTGTGAACATGAGGCTGCAGCTCGTGGTCCTGCACTGACCATTGGGAGATTCAAACCACTCCTCTGGCCTCAGTTTCCTCATCAATCAGACAGTGCTAACACAACACCTGCACCCAAACTCCCTACAGGAGAAGTCTCCTTTGCAGAGTGCTTTCCCCTCCTGAGAGTCAGTTTCCCTGTCTGTCAAATGTAAAATAGTGGCCAGGCGTGGTGGCTCACACCTGTAAGCTTAGCACTTTGGGAGGCCGGGTTGGGTGGATCACTTGAGGTCAGGAGTTCAAAACCAGCCTGGCCAAAATGGTGAAACCCCGTCTATTAAAAAAAAAAAAAGGAAATACTTCCACTGGGCATCTCGGAGGTCAAATAAAGGGGTTCTGGATCCCACACACTTCATCTGTATCACACAGAGGTACCCCTCTCCCTCTCCCCCCCATCTCTATCTCTCTATCTCTATCTCTCTCTGTTGCCTAAGCTAGAGCGCAGTGGCATGATCACAGCTCACTGAAGCTTCTACCTCCCAGGATCAAGCAATCCTCCCACCTCAGCCTCTGAGTATCAGGGACTACAGGTGCCCACCACCACATCTGGCTAATTTTTAAATTTTTCTGTAGAGACAGGGGATCACTATGTTGCCCAGGCTGACCTTGAACTCCTGGACTCAAACGATCCTCCTGCCTTGGCCTCCCAAAATGCTAGGATTACAGGCATTAACCACTGCACCTAGCCAGGTGCATCTCTTATTTGTCCAATGAAGTAATACTTGGTTGGAAGGAAAGGTTTTCAGGTACTAAGAAAAACCACCACTGTGGAACCTGGGCTACAAACTCAGATGCTTACGGAAATGGGCACAAATGTGTGATAGGAGCAGGGCTGGATGGAGGTGGACTGGAGAGAGCGCTGCCTGAGTAGAAGTCCTATTCAGCTCCTACTTGGCTCCTCCTGGCCACTCTTTTCAAAATCTAGAACAAAAATACTGGCAGAATAAGCAAGACACAATATTTGTCCTGCACTGTGGACAAGCCAGATGGATGTGGCCCAGGAACTGCCAGGCTTCAGCCTCCGCCCCTGAGCTCTGCCAAGCCTCTCTGTGTCTCTCTGAAGACGATATGGACACATCTTGCACCATACACACAGAACAGACCACTGTAGAGCCACCTTGGCCTCCTCTGCTCCTAGGTGAAAAGCCAGACAGCAGCAGTTGTTGCTGAAAGGCCTATTGGATGAAGCATGCACAGTGGTGGGAGAAGGCAGGGCCTGATGGATCACATACCCTCAGGCCTAGAGTGGACAATGGGACCATCCTTCAGCCTGATATCCCAACACCATTTTTTAAAGGAAGTCCAGAGAAGGAAAGCAACTTATGCAAAATGATACAGCGTATTGGCAGTGGGGGTGATATTTGGAACGTGGACAGAGACAAACAGAGGTCAAGGAAAGGCCAAATAGTAGACAGTGAGTGCCATGTCCCAAATTATGGAACGTAAGTATTAGAAAGTTTAAGAGCTATGGAGGCCAGGTGTGGTGGCTCATGCCTATAATCCCAGCACTTTGGGAGGCTAAGGCAGGAGGATTGCTAAAGGCTAGGAATTTGAGACTAGCCTGGGCAACAGAGTGAGATGCTGTCTCTACCAAAAAAAAAAAAAAAGAAAGAAAAAGAAAAGAGAGAGAGAAGTTTAAAAAAAAAAGTGCTGCAGAGATGCAGCATGAAATGACACTGACTATAAAAAGTCAGGGTAGTGGTTGTCCCTGGCAGGGGCATTAAGGGCCTCTGGAAGGCTGGTCGTGCTCTGCTTCTTGCTCTGATGCTGGTGACATGAGTGTTCTCAGTTTCTGAAAGTTCACAGGGTCATACATTGAAGACCTATGTCTGTTTTTAACGTGTGTCATATATGCATATATATATATATATATTTTTTTTTTTGTGAGACAGATTCTTACTCTGTCACCCAGGCTACAGTGCAGCCAAGGACGCAGTAGCTCACGCCTGTAATCCCAGCATTTTGGGAGGCTGAGGCAAGCAGATCACTTAAGGTCAGGGGTTCAAGACCAGACTGACCAACATGGTGAAACCTCATCTCTACTAAAAATATAAATTAGCTGGGCATGGTGGTGCACACCTGTAGTCCCAGCTACTCAGGAGGCTGAGGCAGGAGAATTGCTTGAACCCAGGAGGTGGAGGGTGCAGTGAGCCAAGATCACGCCATTATACTCCAGCCTGGGTGACAGAGTGAGACTCTGTCTCGGAAAAAAAAAGTTTTTAAAAAATATAATGTTGAATGCCATGGTGAGCACACTATTCCCTTTTCAGTGGTCTTTCATTGTTTCTGGTTGTCTTACAGTCTCTGTTTGGTGCTTGGGTATCTTTAACATCTCTCCAATACTAGCTAATCTCCACTTTTATTTTAATTTAATTTTATTTTTTTGAGACAGGGTCTCACTCTGTCACCCAAGCTGGAGTGCAGTGGCACCATCAGGGCTCACTGCAGCCTTGACTTCCCAGACTCAAGTGATCCTCCTGCCTCAGTTCCCCAAGTACCTGGGACTATAGGCATGCACACCCATCTAATTTTTGTATTTTTTGTAGAGACAGGGTCTCACTACATTGCCCAGGCTGGTCTTGAACTCCTGGGCTCAATCGATCCACCCACCTTGGCCTCCCAAAGTGCTAGGACTATAGGCTTAAGACACTGCACCTAGCCTAATCTCCCTTTTTGAGATGCTCTCACTCTATTGCCCAGGCTGGAGTACAGTGGCACAATCTCAACACACTGCAAACTCTGCCTCCTGGGTACATGCAATTCTCCTGCCTAAGCCTCCTGAGTAGATGGGATTACAGGTATCATGCCCGGCTAATTTTTGTATTTTTAGAAGAAACAAGGTTTCACCATGTTGGTCAGGCTGTTGACCAGGCAGGCTCCTGACCTCAGGTGATCCACCTGCCTCAGCCTCCCAAAGTGTGTTGGGATTACAGGCGTGAGCCACTGCCCCCAGTCCTAATCTCCTCTTTTAATAAGAGAGCAGGCCTCTGAAGTTTAGACCCTTCAGCACACAAGAGACTCTTGGTAAATTTTAATAATCATCGTATTTATTTCCGTGGCAAATGATTCTGGTTTTCCATTTGTGAAATTTCCATTTAAAAAACATTTATTTAAGCTGTCAAAAAGCAAGCCATTTCATGAGTTGGTAATTGTTGAAGCTGACTGATGGGTATCTAGGGGGTTTATTTTCATTACACCCTTCTTTCTATTTCTGTATTCACTTCACATTTTCCATAATAAGGTGTTTTTTAAAAATTGAGCCAATTAACACAATTATTATGTAAATAGTTGCACACTGTGGTCTCATGCCTGAGACTGTGACAGGAGCACACGAATCACTTCAGTTAGGGAAAGACTGACAGAAGAGATGAAGAGAAGTTGAGAGGCAAAGGCCAGAGAAACAGGGTGAGTTGTGGACTGAGCCCAAGGCCAGGAAGGGGAGGGAGAAACCTTAATTCCTTTGGTCCCACTGGCATCCCCAAAAGAAGGAAGTCTGCTGCCAGTCTGAGAACAGACTGCAAAGATCTGATTCAAATGAGGACAAAGTGGGGGCAACGGATATATGCTCTGCTCCGAGGGCTAAGGCAAGAGCCAAACCTGCCATCTGAGGGTCACAGAGGTCAAGATCAAGAGCCTGTCTCCCCTGGACCCCGGTTAAAGCAGGCAGCACAGAAGCAGGACATCTGCTTGCAAAGCACTTTTGTCCTCTCCTAACACAGTGGCATGGGGGTACACGAGACATGGAGGCAACCACAGAGGCCATCCCATCTGACTGTCCCCTCCCCCCAACCAATGATAGAGAAGAGGAAACTGAGAAGCCCAGAGAGGGGAAGTGACTTTCCCATGGTCACAGAGCAAAGCTGTAGCAGGGTGGGGAGCAGTTCCCAGCTTCCTACCCAATCCCTCAGCTACCGCTGGTCAGAGTCTGGAGTCCTGCTCACACCTTCTGCCTCCACCTCCAGTGCTACATTCAAGCCTCTGGACCTGCCTGGTACCCCTGACCAGGCTGAAGGGTGAAGACTTGGGCCCAAGCAACCCCAAGAAGCCCAGAATGTCAGGCACAGGGCCCCATCTGGATGTGGAATTTGCACTGCCTGGCTGCTTCCGGCCTCCCTGACATCCTCTCCTCCTGCATCCTTAAAGCTATCCTCAACTGGTGCCAAACTCCCACCCCCACCCACCTCAGCTGGCAGATAAATGTGTGTATTGGGGGACAGGGGGTGGTGCAGGCCCCTGTTGGGTCAGGGAAGTTGGGATGGGGGCGGGCCTTTGGCTTCCTGTTGTTCATCACCCTGGGGTTCTGGGGGGGATTTCCCTGGCCACCCCCACCCCCTAGGGAAGGGGAAGGAGCCTGGGTGAGTCACAGACCTGGGGTGGGAGCCCAAGAGTGAGAAGGGGAGGGAGGAACCTCATTACCAAGGTACCAAGGCTCAGTGCTCTCTCAGGCCTTGGACCGAGGCAGGCCTTCTGAGGCCCCTCTCCCCAGTGCTGCCTGCTTCCCTGGCTGTTCTGACAGTTGCTTACCTTTGTGCTGGGGCCAGTTGGGGACACGGAGAATGGGGAGGTCTTATTCTGGGGGTTCTGCAAATAGAAAGTAAGGGCAGGGGGATGGAATAGTGCAGTGGAGCAGCTTCTGACCACCCCCCTCCCTGCCCTCCTGGTCCAGGTGGCACAGAGCCCCCTCTGTACCCCTCTCCCCATTTCTTCCCACCCCCTCCCACTTATCCACTCCCTCCTGACCTGATGATTAGTGTCTGGTCCATTTCTTTCAGTGTCTGCAAAGAGAGGGAAAGGATGTGTTGTCAACAGGCACCCCCACCACACCTGTCCCCTCCCAGCCCTCTTCCCATCTGCCCCACTTCCCCTGCCCATGGTGATTCCTGCCCCCCTGCTCCCTGCCCACACACCTGTGTGCTCTGATGGGGAGTCCAGACCTTGCTTCTCGGCCTCCAGGGGCTTAGACATTCTTATTTCTGGGGACAGAGGAGGAATGGAAGTGGAATGAAGGAGGGGAAGCCAGTAGGGCTCTCAGGACCCTGTTCCACCACACCGCCCACGCCTTTCCCCCAGATTCCCCCCTTACCCCCAACCACCTTGGAAGTGTCTCTTCCCGAGAGACATGTCCTCCATTCCAGGCCTCTGACCTCCTCTGACAGGACAAGACACGGCCCTCAGGCGTTGGGGGATCTTGCCTTATCCTTTTACCCCTCCAGAAAGTGGCACAGGGGTGTCAATCACAATGCAGCACAGGGTAGGGCAGGAGGTGGAAGGTGGTCATGAGAAGGTATCAGCTGCCCAGGAGGAGGCTGGTGACGTCCAAAAGGAGCGAGAGCAGCCTTGGGCCTCCTCCTCAGGCGAGCCACCCAGACTCCTGTCTTGCCCCACCAGGTTTCGGGTGAGACATGTTTTCCACTCTGAGATGAGCCTCGGAGATGTGATGGGGCTGCAGTGTTCCCAAAAGAGGCAGTTGTCAGATCTCTGAGTGTGATTCAGCCGCCCTCTGGCCCTCTCCCCAGCCCACCACTTTCCCCGTCCACATCTCACTCCCACCAGGCCTTCCTTCTTACGTTTAGCACCCAGGCCTAGCAGCCCCACCCTGATCCTCTGTAACCTCAGTTCCATCCAGCTCTACCCCTGAGCTTGTCCTCCAATCTAAACCTCACCTGGGACTTCAGGCTTAAACCCCAGCTGCATCCTCAAGTCCACTCCTATAACATAACCCCATTCTATAGTTCCCTAGGCCCAGGAAATGACAGGGGGTGGCCAAGGGAGGGTAGCAGGCAGCAAGCTGGGCACCAGGGGACATAAACCCACAGAGACAAATGCCTGTCCTCAAAGCGCTCCGATACTTTTCACAGAAAGGCGAGTGCTCACCAGTGCCAAGAACAGAAGTAGATATGACTCACAGCTCACATTAGCGGTTAGTGCTAATATTACCCCGATTTACAGAGGAGGAAACTGAGGCTCCAAGAAGGGATGTTACCTCCCCAAAAGCACAGCAAGACAGCAGACATGCCCGGATTGGATCTCTGGTCTTCATGCCTCCAGTGCTCCTGCTTCTAATCTGAGCCACTCTAATCTAATGGCCCCGAGTCCTGACTTCCAGCTATCTCATCTTCAACAGTCCCCCCACCCAAGCTCATCCTGAAACCAAATCCAACCCTTCCTGGTCCTAGACCCCAAGACAAATCTGGGCTTCAGCCCAACCCATCCTTAGTCCACTTACTCACCCTGAATCCCAAGTTGTACCCAGATGGCTCAAGTCCTTCATCTGACTTTGACTCTCAACTGTCCTGAGACCCTGTCCCTGATCTAAACTTTTCCCATAACTCACTCCAAAATCCCTACTTAAACCACGACCCCACCCCTACTAAAGGAGCTGTCCAACTCTAGTGTGATCTGCACCAAGATACTTAAAGAAAGCAGCTAGGTTAGGCACAGTGGTTCACGCCTGCAATCCCAGCACTTTGGGAGACTGAGGCAGCCAGATCTCTTGAGCCTGGGAGTTCAAGACCAGCCTGGGCAACATGGAGACCCTATGTCTGCTAAAAATACAAAAATTAGCTGGGCACAGTGGCACACACCTGTAGTCCCAGCTATTGGGGAGGCTGAGGCAGGAGAATCGCTTGATTCACCAGGAGGTCAAGGCTCCAGTGACCTGTGATTGCACCACTGCACTCCAGCCTGGGTGACAGAGCAAGACCTTACCTCAAAAAAAAAAAAAAAAAAAAGGTGGGGGGCAGCTAAAGTGAGGGATAGGAAATAGAAAGAACTCAGTAACAGCAAAAAAAAAAGTCTAGGAATTTTGCAATTGAGGATTATTCAGTGTGAAATGCAGCTTGAGTTTTAAAGTCCTAATTAAAAAGACAGGTTATGCATTGCTGGTAGGAGTGTAAATTGATACGCGCACCATTCAGAAAAGCTGAAAAGATATCCTCTCCCTAAGATGTAGCATGTCCACTCCTGGGCATCTGCCCAAGAGGAACACGTGTCCTGCCCATCAAAGGAAATGGGCATAGCCTTTTTATAATGGCCCCAAACTGAAAACAGCCCAAGGGGCCATCAACAGGTGAACGAATAAACAAAATGTGGTACGTCCATACAATGAAACACATCACAGCAATGAAAATGAACAAACTTGGCCAGGTGAGGTGGCTCATGTCTGTAATCCTAGCACTTTGGGAGGCTGAGGCCAGTGAATCACAAGGTCAGGAGTTCAAGACCAGCCTGGCCAACATGGTGAAACCCTGTCTCTACTAAAAATACAAAAGATTAACTGGGTGTAGTGGCAGGCACTTGTAATCCCAGCTACTCAGGAGGCTGTGGCAGGAGAACTGCTTGAACCCAAGAGGTGGAGGTTGCAGTGAGCCAAGATTGTGCCACTGCACTCCAGCCTGGGCAACAGAGTTGAGACTCTGTCTCAAAAAAAAAAAGAAAAAAAGAAAGAAAAAGAACAAACTTCTGCTTTGTACACATGGCCAAAGCTTAAAGACATGAGGGTGAATGAAAGACGCCAAACACAAAGGCAGACATAATTTATGATTCTAATTACAGGAAATTAAAAAACAGGGAAGCTGATAGCAGATGATCACGGTCAGAGTGAGCACCTTGGAGGTACTGACCAGGAAAGGGTGTGAGGAAGCCTGCAGGAGGTGAAAAAGAATCTGGTTTGGTGGTTACAGGGTCTATATATATGCAAAAATTCATCAAGCTGTACACTTAAAATTTGAGCACTTTTACACTTACATTTTAACAAGCAAGAAAACATTTAAAAGCTAAAAAGCAAAAAGCCAGCACACAGTCCCATTAAGATGCACACTGCACCAAGGCAGGTGGATCACTTGAGGCCAGGAGTTTGAGACTAGCCTGGGCAACATAGTGAAACCCCCGTCTCTCCAAAAAATAAAAAAAGTTAGCCAAGCGTAGTGGTATGCACCTGTAGTCCCAGCTACTCAGGAGACTGAGTTGAAAGGATCATATGAGCCCAGGAGGCTGAGGCTGCAGTGAGCCCTGACTGCACCACTGCACTCCAGCCAGACTCTGTCTCAAAAATAAATAAATAAATAAATGAAGATTCAGACTGCTGTATCTGGTAGGGTACCCAGGACACTACCAGAGCTCAGGTCCTATTTCTTGGCCCCAGGGATGGGGCATTAAATGGCTACTGATACAAGAGATAAAGGCTGTCCTGACTCTGGAGCAGTAAAGGCAGGAATCCTGCCTGATCCTAACTTTAATTCATACACACCTTAGCCCTACTTCAGGCAACCACTAAGTCTTATCTGGTCCTAAATCCCACCCCTCCTAGCATCCCTAAAACTGGAACTCCAGCCTCCTCTGGCCTCCTTCCCTCTAGCTAAGCTCCACATTGCCTAAGGGCAATCCTTTCCTGACTCCTCTCTACCTCCTGGAGAAACATCCAGGCTACTGGGCCTGGCCTCCAGGGGCTGGCCCACCACCCTCCACTGCTCTTCTCTTGCAGCTAATGCACACTGCTCTTCAACCACATTGAGCATCTCCCCCCGCTTGGGGGTTCTGCTTGACAGACAGCAGACTGTGTAGGTTCTACACTCCCCACCTAGCTGGACAACCCTCTCCCACCCACAGATCAAGGCAGCCTCGGAACCCCACTGCCAGCCCAGAAAGTCCACACTCATCCTTAGCCTCTGCTACGGGCCAAGTTGCATCTCCCAAAATTCATACACCGAAGTCCTAACTCCTGGTCCCTCAGAATGTAATGGTATTTGGAGATAGGGTCCTTAAATACTTAATTAAGATAAAGTAAGGTAATTAGGGTGGACCCTACTGCAATCTGACTGATATCCTTATAAGAAGTGGGAATTAGGTCACAGATGGGAACAGAGGGAAGACCATATGAAGACCTAGGAGATGACCAGCTGACCACAAGCCAAGGAGAGAGGCCTTGGAAGAGGCCAACCCTGCTGACATCCTCGTCTCCAACTTCCAGCCTCCATAATTGTGAGAATGAATTTCTCTTATTTCAGCGACCTAGTCTGTGACACTTCTCTGTGGAAGCCCTAGCAAACTAAGACAGCATCTCAAAGCCCCTGCCCTCCTGCTATCCCATCCCTGAGCCCCCAGCTGTGCCCAGGTTCCTTCCCCACATGACCAAGGGGACAGGCCTGGTCTGACTAATCGCTGGGTTCCTAGCATCACTAGCCCAGAATGGATTGTAACTGCTGAATGTCCCTCTCTGCAGCAGTCTCTGTTTCCTACTACTTCCCACACATGTCCTACTGTCTCTCTGCTATATATTTTATTATACTTATATTTTGGGACAGAATCTTGCTCTGTCGGCCAGGCTGGGCTACAGTGGCACAATCACAGCTCACTGCAGCCTCGACCTCCTGGGGTCAAGCTATCCTCCCACTTTAGCCTCCTGAGTAGCTGGGACTACAAGTGTGCACCACCATATCCAGCTAATTAAAAAAAATTTTTTTTTTGTAGAGACGGGGTCTCCTTATGTTGTCCAGGCTGGTCTCAAACTCCTGGGATCAAATGATTCTCCTGCCTTGGCCTCCCAAAGTTCTGGGACTACAGGCATGAACCACCATACCTGCACTCTGACATTTAAAATATTTCCTGAGGGTTTGGCACGGGCTGTTCCCTCTGCCTGGAACATTGTTCCCCAATCATCCACCTGGTGACCCCCTACGCATCCTTCAGGATTCAGCATAAGCTCTGTTTTCTTTCTTTTCTTTTTTTTTTTTTTTGATACAGAGTCTCACTCTGTCACCCAGGCTAGAGTGCAGTGTGCAATCTTGGCTCACTGCAACCTCCTCCTCCCAGGTTCAACCAGTTCTGCCTCAGCCTCCTGAGTAGCTGGGATTATAGGCACGTGCCACCACTCCCAGCTACTTTTTTGTATTTTTAGTAGAGACAGGGTTTCACTGTGTTAGCCAGGATGTCTTGATCTCCTGACTTGTGATCTGTCTGCTTCAGCCTCCCAAAG